AGGGGCCGTGTCCGGCCCATTCTTGAAACGGAGCCATTCTTGAACTTGAAACGGAGTGTGGTCAAAGGCTACAAGAAACGCAACACGCATAGTAGGAAAAGTGCACTGTCACGGCGTACCTTCTGCGTTCATTTGGGTGCGCGAGCTGCAAAGAATATTCCCGATCAAAAGGCACGAAAGTAGTCGTGACGTGGCGCTTTCGGCGTGGCTCGATAAGCGACACGGGCTTCTAGCGTTCGTGCTACACCATGTAAAGCGAGGAAGGCCTTCCGAACGCCCCACTAAGCTTCCTCCGTGGAACGTCTTCAGAGTCGGATATGGTTTAGGCGATCGGACCCGAGCCCGCGATGCCGAGCGTCAATCAACGCTTTGATTGGACACGATGCCTAGCCGAGCAGTGACGTGGCGCTCGTATCCAATCAGTGCCTTCGCTCGATATCATCGGTGATGGCGTCAGCATTCTTCTGCACGGGCTTTGATTATTTGATAGGTGGTGTTGGTCCACGGCGCTCTGGCCGCGTATATTCACTCTTAACTTGTACGCTCTGTTTTATCTTTATTTATCGCTCTTCGGCACTGGCGCGTTGACGGTAGCGCCGCCTGGATCGGTTCAAGAGAGCAGGCGGCACCTTTTCGATGGATGTCGTTACTTTTCCCTGTAGAGGGGTTTTATGGACGCCAGTACAATGCCGTGTCAGGTGACCTTCTGGGGCGCGTAGTCACACGATGCATTCACGACAAAGATACGGGATCGTTACTTTGGCGTTACTTACAAAAAAAAAAAACAGCACTTAAATTGGGTTTATCCGGAATGGATAGATATTAACGCCGATATTGATCAACTGAAATAAATGCCCGAGACCAAATACATTACGGACAAAACCTTGAAGGGCAGTTTTGTTACTTTTTTATTTTATTTTTTCTCTCTTTCTCTCGCTTTTTACGGCGGTTTATTGCGAGGTGAGGCGAAGCGTGATGGGGCTGAAATACGTACGCCTCGAACGACCGTAACGATCGCCTTCGAGGCGTACTCTAAATTCCCGGAAATGACGATCCAATCGGACGTCCGTATGTGTACCGGCATTTTCGGGGAGTACCTGTATCGACCGGGTATCGCGTATATCGGAAATATTCGGAACGACGATTAGCGTTATCTTCCCGGTGGGCCGTCGCACTCCTTTAACGGCGGCTCGTTTTTTACCGACGGTTCATATCGATTTTGAGGCTATAATCTCGGTAGCACACCTTCCCTACGCAAAAACGTGCGTTTCTCTTTTTTTTTTATTAATTTAATTTTTAAGACAGAGGAAGAAAGGAGGGGGGGGGGGTGATTTTACGGCTTCGCGTATTGTATAAACGCGCCTCCGGGTACTTATTTTACTAAGAAAACAAATTACAGACTCGAGCCCAATGTTTCTATTTCTCTAAAACCTTGGCTTTCATATGCGCTAAGGTGGATCGAATAAGTGTCATTTTGCGACCGTTATCTCGAGGCGATTTAAATATCGCTACGACACCATTCCCCATTCGCTACTCAATGTACAGCGCGCTGCAATATGAAAGACCCACTGGGAGCGCGTGGCCCAGGTGGTGGCTGGCGGGGGTGCTGCGAGCGCTCCGGGCAATCCCATTCTGCTTCGAGGGGAGGACGCTCACTCGGGGCTCGGCACAAACTGATAAGCGCGTTGAGCTTTAGCTGTGCCCCGAGTGGGCGCCCTTCCCTCGAAACAGAATGGAATTGCCCGGAGCGCTTGCAGCGCCCCCGCCAGCCACCGCCTCGGCCACGCACTCCAACGGGTCTTTCATATTGCAGCGCACTTTTACAGGCTTCCCGCGTTATCCTGTAGGTTAGTCAATGGTCGTGCTGAAACATAAATAGATGTAATCTGAGTGTGAGACATACACAGTATGCGCCTAGCGCATCGCTGTGCACCTCCCCAAGGTCACGTGACGGTGACACGGCATTCTATTGGCTTTCGTGATTCGTAGCGTCCTTCACGGTCCATCTTAAGGTAAGACGGAGTATTGTCGTACGACTGTTCTAAAGCAAAAAATAATGTAAGCTTTAGCTGTTCTTTTTTTAGTTTTAATGATTTTTCGAGCGGATTAACTTCATGTAAGTCATGTTAGCGTTTTTCGGGGGTTTTTTTGCTGGTATTTTTTTGTTTGGGGACTGTTTGCTTTAGACGATTGACATCTAGAATTGTGATAAATGTGAGCTAGTCTTCCAGAAAAAATAAATAAAGCAGAGTTTCAGCATTCCTGCTACAAAAACGAACTGTCGGAGATAAAACGTGTCAAGTTGTAGAAGGCCTTTGAATTATAGCGCTTTCCTATAAGGGAATAAATCAGCTCTGTATCGCACCTCGTCCAACCTTTCTGTGTCACTATTCACGCACGCACGCACGCACGCACGCACGCACGCACGCACGCACGCACGCACGCTTACAAAAAAGTACAAAAAGCTATACTTACACAAAAAGGTATTCGAATAAAACCGAGAAAAAAACAAACTCAAATTGTCAGGGGCAGCTTCCTCGTCAGTGTGTTATGCATATTACCGGCTTTTCCTCTCGTTTTGTTTTTATCTGTGTTTTTGCTTTGGAATTTGTGTAGCGTGTAGTCAGAATTGCACTGCAGACAGCGGTGGCAATAAGACGTCGCTTCCACGTTGAATTCGTCACACAGTATTATCAAAACCCGAAAAGAACGACAAAGAAAAAAACCCCAGGAAAATACGTGTCTAAAGCTGGCCTATCCGTTCTGAATCGGGTCGTACATCTACACTCAACGATCCGGGGTTGCACAAACTGCTACTTTGAGCTTTCTTTTTTTTTTTGTGCGTGTGTGTGTGTTTGATTTTGTTGGTAGGTGTCGAAATCTGGGTATAAAGGGGGGGGATGGGAGGTGGAGAGGCTCTACTCGGTACCGTGTGTCGTGTTGGACGTTTGTCTTCGCCGTGATTCGAGTGGTGGCGTGCCAGACCGTGCTTTTCGGCGCTCGACCGATCCCGAACACTATCTTTAGAAAGGAAAAAAGAAATAGGCGGACGTATGTCAGCCGAAACGGTCGTTGGGAGACCCTACTTTTTCCCTATTCCGGGAGTCTTCTTTTCTTTTTTTTTTTTGGGGGGGGGGGGGGGGGGGGGGGGAGAGAGGGAGAGGTGTTTCGGTCGCATTGTTGACGGGTTTGGGTATTTATGTCGTGACTGGTTGCCCCTGGTAACCGAGTTCCACGTTTTTTCTTTGAAGAGCTTTACATCCCTAGCCAACAATACGTAACTACCCCTTTTCTTTTTTTTTTTTTTTTTAGATATAGAGTGTGATGTTACGTGCCGGTGTTGTCCGTTTAAATCATCTCGATTTGCGGTGGTTCGGGTTTCACGCACACCACCCTCTCGGCATTTGTCCGATTGAGGCGTGTAATAGAAACACGCTTATCAAAGCTCTGTACAGGTTGTCCACAAACGTGTACACCACATTGTTCCGGCGCATGTCCTGAGAGCGAGCGAAGCGATGATGGTTCTTGCGATGCTTGGCAGCCTTTTCAGCTGAAAGCGAGATTGACAATTGCGTAATAAATAACTTTGTGGTTGTTTCGTCGGCGTCGCTACGTTCGGGTGCCGCGTACGTTGTGGATGGGTGGATATTAACGGCTGTACCCGTTTAAACGGGCGGTAGCTTGCGCCACCTGTCCTAAAAACTGAAAAACGAAAATACGATTTTTTTTTTTTTTTTGTTAAGAGGCTTTTAGTGTTGCTGGCTTCGTCTTAACCTTTACATTTATCGAAAGTTTCAGTTGTACGTGCGTTCAGTTTTCGAGTGATCTTATCGTGTGTTTGTGGTGTTTTGTTTTTTTCTCTAAAGAAAGGGGGAAGTTTTTGCTGGATATCTAGTCGTACGAAAGTTCTTGCCGAAACATGTATGATTAATTAAACTTCCAGCATCCATTAGCGTTGATTCGTTGCTTCTCCGGAGCCTGGCCGTTCCCTCTCGTGGACAATGGCCGTACCGGCAGCCTCAAGTTTTGGGTTTGGCTTTCACGTCACCTTTTGTTTCGTTGACTCGCCGTCGTCGTGCCGGGCGTGGATCTCCGCCTTTTTTTCCCCAGCCGATGCCCCATTGTGTTGTGCCAAGAAAATGACATCTGGTGTACGCCCCATCCAAGTCGTTTCCATACGGAATAAATCTCTCGCGTGTGGCTTTTTTTTTACGTTATTCACGTTGCCTGAAGACGAGAATAATCTGGTGCCCTGTACCTTCCAGCCACTTTTCTTTCGTGGCGACAGCCATTATATTGACGAGGTTTCGCGGCGGATCTTTGGGGTGTGTTTTACCTGGTGGTCCGCCAAATTTATCGGTTAGGTCTATCCGCTAAATATAGTGAGTTCACGTCACGCGAGTTCACAGTGTGTCGCCTGACGTTACGGTGGACGTCAGTGTCAGGTGACCACGTCACGTGAACTCGCGATCTCACGGGACGTCATGGCGTCACGCCACGTCGTCGTGTCACGCGAAAGCAGACGAACGCGGCAGTGTAACTGTGGCCTATGGTGCCCGGAACGAGTATCCTACTCGTGTGCACATCGTGTTCAACAAAAAGAAAAAAAAAAGAGGTCCCTTGATTTTTGTTTGATGACGTCATGAATGTGTCACGCTGTCGCCTGCAGCGATCCTGGCGGTGTCACAGCGGCGGTGGTGGATGTGTCAGACTCCTGTTGTGCTGCGGGACGATCTCTAGTTTGACAGCCCATGGAAGCTTTGGCTGCATGGAATTGGCACAAAAACGCTCGCGTTCTTTCGTATTTGTTTTTTTTTCTTTTGTAAGGGGCAAACGCTGTTTTTGTGGTTAGATCGTTTTTTTTTTTTTTTGCGAGACCTTGAAATGACCTTGGGATCGCCTTAGTTTGAACGACGATTGTGAATAACTTTTTTGCGTCAATCGAAAATGTTGTGTCCCATTCGTTCCTTGTCATAGCGGTGCTTGTTTCCTCCCCTCAGGATCACCAACGACGATCGGGAGAATGAGATGGAAGACAACATGGTTCAGGTGTCCACCATGATCGGGAACTTGCGCAATATGGCTATCGACATGGGCAGCGAGATTGAATCGCAAAATCGGCAGATCGACAGGATCAACCAGAAGGTACGCCGCCCCTCCTCTCCCCTCCTCTTTCTCTTTATCCCCTTTTCACGCGTGTCTCTTCGACCGACACCTGCGAGAAAACAATGCTGCGGTGCTACGTCATCTACGTCACGTATCGGAGGCCAACGATGATGCAGCACTGCTGCGCAATCTGTGTCCCGCGCCGGCCTGCGATGCGTGACGTCATGCACCTAGCACCACGGCCTCTTTGTCTAGGCGTGTTGGTCTGTCTTGAGTGCCTTGGCAGCCTCGTAGAGGTGGGGCAAGGTCGCGTCTCACCCCGAGGGTGAGGATATAAGTAAATTAAACGATAAAAACGTTGTATCGTAGAGCACAAAAGGAACAGTGTAGAATGGTTGCATCATTTCATGTAGCTTCGGTAACCAGGTCTGTCTCCTATATTCCCTGTCTGCTGTCGCTGCACTAATAATACAAATAGTTCTTATTTTTTTGCCCCCAAAGACCGCCATGCTGGTACATGTTCGACACAGTCAAGACGCCTAGAAAGTTACTGCCCACCGTCATTTTCGATTATTGAAGGAAGAGTACTACTTCATTAATAACATCTTAGGTTCAATTGTTGATAATAGCTAATTGAAGTGGAGCACAGAGATACGGCAATAACGATACGATGACGATTCAAAAAAGAGTTGCCAGCAATATTCCCTTATAGAGGACGAAAAAAATATAATATAACATCTGCCGCCACTTAAAAGCACCCCCATGTTTTATTTTATTTTTTAACTTTTTTTTAGAGATGTATACAGTGAAGTTTCTCAAGTCCGTAATCTCCGTAACTGGTACACCTACTTAAAGGGATGCTGAACCGAAATCCGGATTCCCCAAAACACGCGGCCAAAGCGTGCAACGGGATGCTACAAACACCAAAACATCACTGATACAGCGATATCTCGAACGGATGACCATATTCTTCAAAAAGAGGAGGCGCATTTGAAAGAAATGTTTACTTCATGTTTCTCCGAGAAGGAGAGGGAACGGCCTCGCGTCTTGTCCGCCTCGCGGCCTTGAGGGAGCAAAGCGAACAGAGGAGGAAACTAAGTATCTTGACGGTCACGCGCCTCGTCGGCCTGGTTCAATCTCGACCTCTTTTTCCAAAAATACGGCCGTCCATTCGAGATATCGCCTTACGAGTAGTGCTGTAGGGATTGTAGGCGTCCCGCCTACATCTCCTGCATTGTTTTTTCTGAAATCCAAATTTCGGTTCATCATCCCTTTAAGTAGTTCTACTCACCGAGGACTGACTTTGCACATTGTCCCGTAAGCAGCTCTTCTCGAAGTCAGGGAGTCACGAGTGCAGGCTGCGAGTTTGGGAGGTGTAGCTGTATTAATGTTCTAGATAATAAAAATGTACCCGTTGTGCTAGCGTTCATACTGATGGAGGGCCACTCCACTATTAAACTCGTGCCTTTTCTTCTTTTTTTTTTTTCGACCGTAGATTTTAATGAGTTCGGCTTGTCTAGTTGTCTGAAGTATAAAAACGGTGTCTGTACGTAGACTCGTATCTGCGTCACACGCGATTCGTTTTCACTGGGAGTCATCTGTATGTCTCAGAAATAGGTGCTGCACTTCACCAATATCCGTTCCATGCGTTTTCTTACCGACCCACTATGGTTCCAGTATCGGCTTAGTGTAAACTTATTATGGGCTTCTACGCAATGACTACACGTATTCCGCAGTGTCTCGTTAATAGGAAGTTTTAGACCGTCGCCATCACTTTGGGTCTCTCTATTCTAAAGCTCTCAAATAGGACCGCTCTCAGATAGGAGCTGTGCAACAATTTCAGTCCTTTGGGTAAATAATTTGGGAGGTAGTGTCTCGAACGTTTTGAAGTAAAGAACAAAAAAAAAAAAAAAAAGAAACGCTTTTGCCTGCATGTCCTAGTTTTTTTTGTTTTTTTAAATAGACAAAGATTGAGGTTTTCGGCACCTCTCAACTCCTTCACCATCTTCCGAGTCTCGTGCGTTGTGACGTCAATAGGGGTCGCGCGGGGTTCCGGTGAAGCCCTCTCTCTAGAGCCATCAGTGGGCAGCGAGAACTCAGCCGCTGGCGACCGACCGCGTGACCCCGTGCTGGCGCAGCGCGAACAATAAGCTGAAAGGAGGAAAATCTCATCCGGGTCCCGCCATCCCCGTCCCTCTCCGTCTTGCGGCGCCTGTTCGCAGTAGCAGATAGAGCTGGCGGTTTTGTGGACCTCGGATAGATGGCGCCACTAAAACTCCCTATAAGAAAAGTTTTGTCGATGGTACCAGGGTTTTGACGCATTTGCATATACGTTGGAACGACAAGATTTATAGAAAAGTTACCTTTTATCAAGCAGGTACTCGCACAACTTGCTATCTTTCTACAAGACCCCCGTTGACGTCATACCGCTTGTTTCTCATGGCCGCCTCTCGCGGCTGCAGGTCGGGGAATATTCTAATTTTTACCTCGCGATTACGCGGCGGAATCGCAGCATTTCGAAGGAAGGAGATGCGTTTTCTGTCCTTTGTGACAAGATGAACAATGTCAAAAGTAGAAGATGCCAATTCTTTCAACGTTAAAATCGTTGCACAGCTCCTTTAAGCCCGAAACACATGCGCGTCCAAACTGTCCGATCCGACGTGCGAACTGCCGGAACGATTGGGAGGCGAGGGTTTTCGCTGCTCTCTGGCGCTACGAAAACCCTCGCCCCCCGAACGTCATTCCGGCAGTTCGCACGTCGGATCGGACAGTTTGGACGCGCATGTGTTTCGGGCTTTAGTTTAGCTTTCTACCCCGCTGAGCACATATTGCTCGAGAACGAAAACCCGGTAATCTACGAAAACATGTGACGGAGCGTTAGGAATTAAGGGCGATTTGTCGGTCAAAGGGCACAGCGGGAAAGACAGGTAACCGAGGGAAGGAGGAAAAAAAAAGGAAACGCTGCGAGCACGTTTTAAATATTAACGAGCGTCAGGCGCTCTGCAAGTCTCGTTGCGCAACACGACCGGCTGGCGGCGGTGAACCCCGTGAATTAGAGTTAGGCCTAACTAACGTGTTGGGGGCCGCGCGCGCGCCGCCATTTCGACCCCGAGGCGAAAGTTTTCGCGAGTTGAGGAGACTGCGTGTTTTGTTTGGACACGAACGCGCCAGGTAGGCGACGACGAGTGGCGCTGAAATACGAGCTCGTCGTTGCGAGAAGCGCAGCAGCGTGTTGTTATAGTTAGCTTGACGAGATTAACGTGAACTGCCAGCGTACTCTGTTTTTTTTTTTTTTTTTTTTTTTTTTTTTTGCGTAAGGGTTAGTTAGTGTGCTGTGTCAACACCTCCTATATATACGCTCCGTTTCACGTTTACGTCGCACAACAGCCGATGCTACGAGCCATTCGAGCCAATCAAATCTGTTCCCAGTGTCACTTGACTTTCGGGGGTAAAGTAACTGTACGGCGTGTCCCCCAACAAAATCTACTCTCTTATTTTTTTTTTAGTTTGAACGCTTATTTTTTGTTTAAATGTCACTCTAGGGGTCAGAACCAGAACGCTAGTAATCCGAACCGAACGCGCCGGTGGAATAATCACGTGACACGTTCAGAGCGCCGGATTGGTGGGAATGACTCCTAGTGTCCACTGCGGTCCATGATAAGATTAAACGGACCATATGGATAGGAATGCTACAGACCATTCCATTTAGCGCTCTCTGGGCGGCACCATTTTGTTCGACCGCAGCGCCCTCTCCACACATCCGGGAAATTCAGCGGGTTCGGTGGGGTAAAACAAGAGAGAGGGCACGCGCCCGACTCCGCTAGCAGACGACAAAACGGAAGGTTGCCATTCTCAATCTTGGGGCTGTATCGGCGGGCTGTACGGAACATCGAACTCGCGCTCGTGGCTGCCGTTGTGAAGTGGTTCGCGTTCTTAGAATAGTTGTGGCTACTCCAAAATCAGCCTAGAGCTCTCTGTTGTCCTATTTCGCTAAATGATCAACTGACATATCATTTTTCCGTTACTTAAATAGCAGTTGAGTCAGCCGGCAGTACTACCCTCAACTACTGCGTGTATTGCGGCAGGAGAGCACGTTTTTATTTATTATTTGAGACATTCACTCATGGTCGCTAAAGGCCTACACCAGTACGAACTTTGTATAGTAAAAAAGGTACAGCCACCGGATTCACTTTTCGCCGGAGAGACCGGCCAGTCTGACACAGTTTTCCCTGTTTATTTTTTTTTATTTGCACGCAGATAACAGTGCAATTAAACTTTGTTATGCTTTTTTTATCTAGCATAGTTACACACGATAACTGGCATACCAAAATCTGCGCATCTGCGCTTGAAATTCCCAAAATGACGCGATTTTAAACAGAGTTTGCACGCCAGCTGGATGCTAGGTACTGCCCACTCGGCGGAGCAGACGACCTGCGGGCGAGAGGGGGAGGGCATATTTTTCTCGTTTTACCCTCTCTGCTATGACCCTAATGGAACGGTCAAACTCTCCTACGTCACCCACAAGGGGCCAACTGCTGGATTCTGATTGGACACGAGCGCTGCGCGATTGTTCGGCTGAGATACGCGCTCTCGCTTATTGCGCACGAATCTCGGCCGAACGCTGACGTCACACTCGGGACGCCCGTAGGTGACTGTGCACCGCGCCGGGCCCCCCGTAGGTGACGTAGAATACGGAGGACCACTTGGGCCTCGCTGTAGTAAGGTGTTTGTTGACCGTGTCGGATTGGCGGGTTGTGCCGCATTAACGAGGAGACGGAGGGGTGCAATTCTTCCTCCGTCATAACGTTATCTCGTACGCTAATGCCTTGCCAGTAAGTTAGGTTTTCGCGAGGGTTAAGTGCCAGGTTTAACGACCTTTTGATACGAACGGAAATTATCGCCTCGCTTTGGGGTAAACTGGGTATGAGATGAGAGGGGAAGGGAAGCTGTTAGTTTCGTGTGGAAATCGAGGGGAGTGAAGACGCCGGTCAAAGCTTAGGGACCGACACGATTTCGAAATTTGTTTCCTTCTGTACTGC